AGGACCTGCCCACCCTCCACCTCACACACCATGACCAACTCGTGCTGCTCCCCTTGCTGCCAGCCTACGTGCTGCCGGACCACCTGCTGCCAGCCCACCTGCTGCCAGCCCACATGCTGTGGGTCGAGCGGCTGTGGGTCCAGCTGCTGCCAGCCTTGCTGCCACCCAACTTGCTGTCAGACCACTTGCTGCAGGACCACCTGCTGCCAGCCCACATGCTGTGGGTCGAGCGGCTGTGGGTCCAGCTGCTGCCAGCCTTGCTGCCGCCCAACTTGCTGTCAGACCACCTGCTGCAGGACCACCTGCTGTCAGCCCAGTTGCTGTGGGTCCAGCAGCTGTGGACAAAACTGCTGTGGGTCTAGCGGCTGTGGGTTCAGCTGCTGCCAGCCTCGCTGCCGCCCAACTTGCTGTCACACCACCTACTGCCAGCCTTGCTGCTGCGGGTCCAGCTGCTGTCAGCCTTGCTGCTGCAGGTCTAGCGGCTGTGGACAAAACTGCTGTGGGTCTAGCAGCTCTGGGTCTAGCTGCTGCCATCCCTGCTGCTGTGGGTCCAGTGGATGCCAGTCTTCCTGCTGCTGATTGCCTTGCCAAGAACCACCATCTGATTTGCCATTTGGGAAACAGTCATGGCCAAGTTTGAGCAAAGCCAGCCCCCAATCCCCAACATCTCTGTTCTTCATTTGCCTGTTGACAAGCTTGTGAATCAGCTTGATGAAGTGTGGACTGCTTCTCCCTGATTATCTTCCTTCCTTCCTCTGGGTCATGCGCCAGCTTCATCTATCCTGATATTGAGTTAGGATCTCTGTTTGGTCTCCACAGTCAAGAACTTTACCCTGTCCCTCTAAAGATCTCAGAGAAACAACTCCTCATGAATGACATAGAACTCTTTGAAACTACTAAAGTCCACACAAGTATGTTTTCTTTCCTAGTGTACTGATAAATCTCGTATGCTTCTTAAATGCCTGTCATGATCCCTTTGAGTGTCTCCCTAGACCCAGGGAGTCTCACCTTGTATATCTCTTAATAAATCCTATATCATTTGGACACCCATATTGTCTTTGTTTCTTTATTTTATTATTTTTAAATGTAATTTATTTTCAAATTGGCTTACATAAAACACCCAGTGCTCATCCTAACAAGTGCCCTCCTCAATGCCCATCACCTATTTTCCCCTCTCCCCACACCCTGCCCCATCCACTCTCAGTTTTTTTCTGTATTTAAGAGTCTCTTGTGGTTTGCCTCATTCCCTCTCTGTTTGTAACTATTTTTTCCCCTACCCTTCCTCCATGGTCTTCTATCAAGTTTCTCAAGATCCGCATATGAGTGAAAACATAGGACATCTGTCCTTCTAGGACTGACTTATTTTGCTCAGCAAAATACCTCCCAGTTGCATCCACACTGCTGCAAATGGCATGACTTCATTCTTTCTCATTGCCAAGTAGTATTCCATTGTATATATAAACCACATCTTCTTTGTCCATTCAGCGGTTGATGGATATTTAGGCTCTTTCCATAAATCAGTTATTGTTGAAAGTGCTGCTATAAACATTGGTGCTCATGTGCCCCTATGCATCAGCACTCCAGTATCCCTTGGGTAAATTCCTAGTAGTGCTCTTGCTGAGACATAGGGTAGTTCTATTTTTGATTTTTGGTGGAGCCTCCACACTGTTTTGCAGAGCGGCAGCCCCAATTTGTACTCCCACCAACAGCAGAAGAGGGTTCTTGTTTCTCTACATTCTTGCCAGCACCTGTAATCTCCTGATTTGTTCATTTTAGCCACCCTGACTGGTGTGAGGTGTATATCAGTTGGCTCTGATTTGTATTGCCCTGATGATGGGTGACATTGAGTATCTTTTCATGTGTCTACTGGCCATCTGAATGTCTTCCTTGGAAAAGTGTCTATTCATGTCTTCTGCCCTTTTCTTCAAGAACATACATAAACTTCATAAAAGTTATATATGAAAAGTCCACAGGTAATATCATCCTCCATGGGGAAAAACTGAGAGCTTTCCACCTGAGATCAGGAACATGACAGGGATGTTCACTCTCAACACTGCTGTTTAACATAGTGTTGGAAGGCCTAGCCTGAGCAGTCAGACAACAAAAGGAAATAAAAGGCATCAAACTTTGCAAAAAGGATGTCAAATTTTCACTATTCGCAGACGACATGATCCTCTACATGGAAAATCCGAGAGACTCCACCAAAAGACTCCTAGAACTGAGAGATGAATTCAGCAAAGTTTCAGGGTACAAAATTGATGTACAGAAATTGAATGCATTTGTATACACCAATAAAGAAGCAACAAAAAGAAAAGAAACTGATCCCATTTACAACTGACCCAAGAGCCATAAGACACCTAGAAATAAACCTAACCAAAGATGTAAAAGATCTGTATACTGAGAACTATAGAAAGTTTATGAAGGAAACTGAAGAAGACACAAAGAAGTGGGAAAACATTCCATGCTCATGGATTGGAAGAAAAATATTATTAAAATGTCAATACTACCCAAAGGAATCTACACATTCAAGGCAATCCCAATCAAAATTGCACTGCCATTCTTCTCAAAGCTAGAACACCCAGTCCTACAATTTGTATGTAACCACAAAAGACCCCAAAGAGCCAAAGTAATATTGAAAAAGGAAACCAAAGCGGGAGGCATCACAATCCCAGACTACAAAGCTGTAATCATCAAGACAGTATGGTATTGTACTCGTCAAGACAGTATGGCACAAAGACAGACACAGAGACCCATGGAACAGAATAGAGAACCCAGAATTGGACCTGCAAATGATGGCCAGCTAATCTTTGACAAAGTCAGAGACCATCCAAAGGAGAAAAAGATAGTCTCTTTAGCAAATGATGCTGGGAGAACTGGACAGCAACAAACAGAAGAATGAAACTAGACCACTTTCTTACTCGATACACAAAAATAAAATCAAAATGCATGAAAGACCTAAATGTGAGACAGGACTCCATCAACACGCTAGAAGAGAAAGCAGGCAACAACCTCTTTGACCTCAGCCACAGCAGCTTCATACTCGACACATTTCCAAAGGCAAGGGAATTAAAAGCAAAAATGGACTACTGAGTCATCATGAGCACTGGGTGTTATATGGAAACCAACTTGACAATAAACTATTTAAAAAAAAAAGAACCTTAACCAACTGAAAAAAAAAAAAAGACCTCCTCAAGATAAAAAGCAACTGCAATGCAAAGGAAACAATCAACAAAACTAAAAGGCAGCCCTCAGAGCCTGGAGCCTGTTTTGGATTCTGTTCGGATTCGCTCTCTCTGACCCTCCCCTGTTCACACTGTCTCTCTCTCTCAGAAATAAATAAAACATTAAAAAAAAGTAAAAAAAAAAAAAAAAAAAACAATGAAAAAAAAGTAAAAAAAAAAAAAAAAAAAACTCTAAAAGGCAATCAATGGAATGGGAAAAGATATTTGCAAATGACATATCAGATAAAGGGCTAGTATCCAAAATCTCTAAAGAACTTACCACACTCAACACCCGAAAAGCAAATCCAGTGTCTTTGTTTCTCTGTACAGCGTTCCCAAGGTAAGGATTTGTTACAAATGTTGCATATAACATGCAGTGTCCATTGGAAGCCACACACTGTCCTTCAGAAGTTACTATGTGCATTTTCAGACGAGGGCATTTCACAGTGGCATGTCACAGAGCTGACAGGGACAGACTGAGATCCCAGATGGTGGTTCCTGCGCTTGCTGAAGCGCACTTACATTCAGATCTTCAGACGTGTTAGAAAAACACCTAGTCTCAGCACCAGCAAGATGCTCATTTGAGGTCTTTTTTGACCACAGAGGTGTTATTCTCCTGTAGACGCGAGTGATATGTGGGACTCAGTTGTCGACACTGGTGTCCTACAACTCAACCACAGCAGCCATATGTGAGGACAGCAGGACCTGCCCTTTAGAGCTCTTGTGAACACAGGATCGTTTTGTTGCCTCGGGTACCGTCCAGCCCCTCAGCACTCCTCTGCATCAGATACAGGTGAGCCAGCAGTGTCCTCGCCAGCAACAGACACAGCTGAACACACATGTGTTTGGGACATGGAAATCACATTTGTGTGTGGCTTCTGGTCCTCAGGACCTAATGGTATAGTAAATAATAAAATGGTATCACATAATGCTCTGCCAAATCTATTTATCTCCCCTCCTGTAAGGCAGTTTGTCATCATGATCAAAATGTTACCCAGGCAGTTAATGCAGGACGGTGTCAGGGACTGAGAGATCGTGCAATGGGCATGTAGGACTTTGAGTAATCCGTGAGCTCTGAACCAACTAAGGGAACAGAAACACCGCTGGTATTCTATGAAGGAAATCTGAGGAACCGAGTAGAGGGGGAGATGCCTGTCCCAGGGGGGTGAGGAGGATGTGAGGAAGAAAAAAAGAGGCAACAGTGTGGGCATTCCTAGGAGTCATGAACAAAGGCTGGAGCTTCTGGTCCTGAACTAATGGTGCTGCCTCTGGGCTCGGGGCTGTGAGGCCTGATTCAGGCTCTGAGAGAAATAGGAGACTAGGCCCTGGGTCACTTCCTGGGAGCAGTGGAGAGAACTCTGAGAAGCTGCAAAGGCCCCTATGCAGGACACATGCCACCACTGGAGACCAAATATCCAGGATGCTCTGGAGAGACTGCCAAGGCCAAACTTACCTACTGCTAGTCCTGAAGAGCTTGATGTTTGCAAAATGAGGTGATAAATGGATATGACCTATGTTTCCTAATATTTTCTGGATGTTGACTGAATACTTCATGAAGATTCATTTTAATTCTTGGAGGAATTTTCAGAGTAGGTATTAAGGTTCCCATTGTAGAGGTGAGTAAATCGAGACTGAGCGGAATATAGGGGCATATCACTGGGAAGAGGCACTTTGAGGCCAGCCACACAGTTTGCAACTAAAGCTTTAACCTGAAAGCTATCTCAGAAATGATGTAACACACACACACACACACACACACACACACACACGACATTGAGATTCTCCTATATCAGCAATTAAGGAGTTTTCATAAACCAACTCTCCAGAAGCAAGGGTTAGTGTTTTCTCAGTGTGGCATGCTCAGCAGACTGACATTTGCTGTGCATGATAAGCACACTTAGGCATAGAGGTGCTGATCTGCAAGGTATATTGTCCCAAACTCACTAATAATCATGACATAGGGCTGGTGTATCAAGACAGCTTTGACCATCTATGGTTTCCACCACTCATTCCAACATTTTCTTAATTGTATTGGCGAGCAGATGCGGTTTCTGGAATAAACAGAAGAATAAAATTGTTGAAGACGGAGGGGAGGAGCAGCCATATTGAGGCATGAAGAGTTGGAATAAATGAAAAGAGGGAGGAAAAGAAAAGAAAAAGAGAAGAATAGGAACAAAGAGAAAAAAGAAAGAATAAAGAAAGGTAGAAAAAGGAAAAATGGAGAAAAAATAAAGATCAAAAAAAGGAAAGGAATGGAGGGAAGAAGACAGGGATGAAGGGAAGGAGAGAGGGAGTAAGGGAGGAAGGAAGGAAGGAAAAGAAAGAAAGAAAGAAAGAAAGACAGACAGACAGAAAGAAAGAAAAATAGAGAAAGGAAGAAAGAAAGAGATGAAGGAAGGAACAAAGGAAGGAAGAAAAAGAAGGAAGAAAGAAAAAAGGAAGGAAGGAAGAAAGGACCGAACAAATGAACAAGCAAAGGAACCAAGAGAGGAAGAAAGAAAAAAGAGCAGACGTAAATAAAGATGTAATCCATTACATCAGTGAAATCCATTACATCAGTGAAGGCATTGATTAGGCTAGTTGACAAGGTTAGGACTAGTGTCACCAAACCACCCTGATTTGCCCATACTTCTTCAGTTATACCACTGAAATTCCCACATTCTGGAAAAACACTCAAGCCTAGGTGAATCAGGACTACTGGTCAATAAGGAGGTACACTGACTGATGCTTGTTAAGTCCCAGTATACTGCTGATGATCTACCCACCTGCTTTGGTTCTGCCTTGCCATATGGAAGGGATGAGGCCAGATTATCTGCTACCCAATGGTCTTTGATTGAACTGGGATACAAGTGGGATAGCGTGACATAGCAGATATGTCTGTGGGAGTCTTGAATCAGGCTTCTGTGGGGAAACAGACCTGGGCTCAGGGATCTACTAAATTTACCCCTGTGAACACATAAGCATCATGCCACTCACCTCAGGGATACTCTCAATCCACATACAACCTAAGGACCAAAGCTGGGGAGGGATAGCTGCTTTGACACTAACCAGCCCAGAAACTAGATCACATGATGTGATGATCATTGAAGCAAGAACGATGTTGCTGATGTGACCACCTTCCTTTCATCTGAAAATGTTTTTATGAGTTATTCTCAAGTAGGAAACACATTAAACTCTTACTTTATAATGATTCCTAACATTTAGGAAACAACTTCCTCATTTGTAATCCCCCCAGTAACTATGGAAAACAATGTAAACACCAACAAGGAAAGTCCTGCCCATTGGTCTAAACTTCTGGGGTCCAGTGCATAAAAGCCCCAGGTTAGGAGGAGGCACCAGAATCTGAGAACCTCACCTCTGAACAGGACCTGCCCACCCTCCACCTCACACACCATGACCAACTCGTGCTGCTCCCCTTGCTGCCAGCCTACGTGCTGCCGGACCACCTGCTGCCAGACCACCTGCTGCCAGCCCACATGCTGTGGGTCGAGCGGCTGTGGGTCCAGCTGCTGCCAGCCTTGCTGCCGCCCAACTTGCTGTCAGACCACCTGCTGCAGGACCACCTGCTGTCAGNAGCTGCTGCCAGCCTTGCTGCCGCCCAACTTGCTGTCAGACCACCTGCTGCAGGACCACCTGCTGTCAGCCCAGCTGCTGTGTGTCCAGCTGCTGCCAGCCCAGTTGCTGTGGGTCCAGCGGCTGTGGGTCTAGTGGCTGTGGCTCCAGCTGCTGCCAGCCAGTTTTCTGTACACCCGTGTACTGCACGAGAACCTGCTACCACCCCACCTGCTGCTGCCTGCCTGGGTGCCTGGCCCAGGGCTGTGGATCCAGCTGCTGCCAGCCTTTCTGCTGCTGATTATCTTGCCAAGAACCACCATCTGCACACAACACTGATTTGGCATTTGGGAAACAAAGTCATTGTCAAACGGGGCTGAAAACCAGCATGCAATCACAAACATTTCTGTTACTCATCTGCCTGTTTACAAGCTTGTGAATCAGCTTGATGAATGTCAACCACTTCTCCCCTATTCTCTCTTCCTTCTTCTTAAGTCTCACAGGCCAGCTTCACACATCCGGATACAGCCATGATTTCTGCCTAACTCCATAGTCAAGATCTTTATCCTGTCCCTACACATACTTTAGATAAAGAAATCCACATAATTGACACATAAAGTTTTGCAACAATGGGAAGTGTGTACTAATATGTTTTCTTTCTTAGTGCACTCGTGGTTTTTGTATGCTGCTTTCTATCATGATCCCTTTGAATGTCTCCCTAGTGCATGGAGTCTCATCTATAATGCTTAATAAATCCATTTGGCATCTCATAATGTCTTTGTTTTTTTTTTATTTTTAAAATGTGTTTTATTTTAAGTATCTATTTATTTTGATATAGAGAGACCAGGGGAGGGACAGAGAGAGAAGGGGAGAAAGAAAATGCAAAGTAGGCTCCATGCTGAGCATGCCCTATGATACCAGGACCATAAGATCACGACCTGAGCCTTAATCAAGAGTTGGATGCCCTTTGTCTTTGTTCTTTTTTTTTTTTTTTTTTTTTGTATAGTGTTCCCAATGTAAGGATTTATCCACAGGTGGCATATCACATGCAGTGTCTATTTAGAGTCTCAAACAATTCTCCACAAATCATTATCTCCATTTTCAGATGAGGAAGTGTCACAGTGGAATGTCATAAATGATATGAATAGACTAAGATCCCAGACTCTGTCTTTTGCCCTTGCTGAGGTGTACTTACATTCATATTTCCAGATGAGTTAGAAAAACCCTGGGACTAAGCACTAGTAACATGTTCATTTGAGTGTCTTCTTTGACCACGGAAGTAATAGTCTTCTGTATATGCAGGTGACATCTAGCACTAAGTTGCAGACATCAGTTCCCTACAAATCATCCAACAGCAGCCACATGTGAGGGCAGCAGGACCTGCCCTTTAGAGCTCTTGTGAACATTGGATCCTTTTTGTTTTCCTGGGTGCCTTCCAGCCCCTCAGCACCCTTCTGCATCAGGTACATGTAAGCATGTGGTGTCCCCATGAGAAAGAGGCACAGATGAACACATTTGTGTTTGGGTCATGGAAATTACATTCTTGTGTGACTTCCTGGACCTCAGGACCTAATGGCAGAGTAAAAAGGCATCAAGTAATTTTATGTCAAACATATTATGCTCCCCAACTGTAAAGCAATTTGTCATTGGGATCAAAATGCTACCGAAACAATTAAGGAAGGATGGTGTCAGGGACTGAGAGATCATGCTTGGGGATGTATGACTTCAAGTAATCCATGAGCTCTGAAACACCTAAGGGAACAGAACAACTTCCAGTATTTTGTGAAGGAACTATGAAGCATTTGAAGGAAAAAAAGATGCCTATTCCAGGGAAGTGAGAAGCATGTGAAGAAGGAGAAAGAGAAAACAATGTGCACATTCATAGGAGTTGTGATAGAAGGCTGCCATTTCTGGTTCTGAAATAATGGTGCTGCTTCAGCACTCAGGTTTATGAGGCTTGATTCAGGCTCTGAGAGGAATAGGTAACAGTCCTTGGGTCACCTCTTGGGAGCAGTTGAGGGACCTGTGATGAGCTATGAAGCCTCATATCCAAGGCACATGCTAACATCTGAGTTCTAGGTATCCTGGATGCTTCGGAAAGACTGCCAAGGTGAAACTTATCTGCTGGTGGTTCTTAAGAGCTGGGTGTTTGGCCTCACGCCAGTCAGAGTGGCTAAAATGAGCAAATCAGAGAACTCGAGATGCTGGCGAGGATGTGGAGAAACGGGCACCCTCCTACACTGTTGGTGGGAATGTAAACTGGTACAGCCCCTCTGGAAAACAGTGTGGAGGTTCCTCAGGAAACTAACAATAGAACGCCCCTATGACCCAGCAATAGCACTGCTAGGAATTTACCCAAGGGATACAGAAATGCTGATGCATAGGAGCACATGTACCCCAATGTTCATAGCAGCACTCTCCACAATAGCTAAAACAGGGAAAGAGCCTAAGTGTCCATCAACGGATGAATGGATCAAGAAGATGTGGTTTATCTATACCATGGAATACTACATGGCAATGAGAAACAATGAAATCTGGCCATGTGTAGCAATATGGATGGACCTTGAGGGTGTTATGCTGAGTGAAATAAGTCAGGCAGAGAAGGACAAATATCATATGTTTGCACGTATAGGAGGATTAGGAGGAACTTGACGGAGGAACAAGGGGGAGAAGAAGGGCGGAAATGGTGGGGGAAAGGGAGAGGCAAACCGTGAGAGACTCTTGAATGCTGACAAAAACTGAGGACTGATGGATGTGGGGGGGAGGGGGGGATGGGCATGGAGGAGGACACTTGTGGGGATGAGCACTGAGTGTTATGTGGAAACTAATTTGACAATAAACTATTTGTAAAAAAAAAAATGAGCTGGGTGTTTGGGTTACAGGATGAAGAAGTGACACTATATGTGTTGTCTACTATTTGTTAGGTATTGAACAAATGCTCTATGTACAGCATCTTTAATTCTGAATAAACTTTCAAGGAAGCTTAAATATTTCCATTTTAGAAAAGAAGAAATTAAGACCAAGAGAGGTAAATTAAAGTCATAGTTTGTAACCTCAGAGAATATATTTGGAGAAAAATAATCAAGTGTACATAGTTTGTTTAGGATGTGCACTGCACACTAATAGAGAATTGAAGAAATGGGTTGAGTAAGGGTGCACATGAATCTAGTACCACTGTTTGCAACTGAATATTACACCTGAATGAAAATTATCAGAAATTATATAAAATATACATTTTAGAATTACCCTACCTGATGAAAATGGAGCTGTAATCTTCATAGACAACTCTTCAGAGTCACTAGTTGTGTTTTTCTCAACATGGCATGCACAGACAGCATGACTTTCTGCTGTTTCATGAAGAGAACCCTTAGACTCAGAGATATATAGTGACTGGAAGTTGGCTTGAGCACACTGAGATCAAAGATATGTGATTTGTTGTGCCAGTCAGTTTCAGGTGCTATAATGAACTCCCATAGACTGGTTGGATCACACAGTAATATTTATATGCCACAGTTCTGGAGGCCAGGAAGTCAAAGATCAAGGTGCTGGCTGGGTTGGTGTCTGTTTGGACCCTCTTCCTGGTTTGCTGATGGCTGCTTTATGGCTGTGTTTTCAAATGGCAAGGAGAGAGTGAGAGGGCTTTCCTCTCTGTCTATTGCAAATGACATATTAGATAAAGGGTTAGCATCCAAAATTTATAAGGAACTCACCAAACTCCACACCTAAAAAACAAATAATCCAGTGAAGAAATGGGCAGAAGACATGAACAGACACTTCTCCAAAGAGGACATCCAGATGGCCAACAGATACATGAAATGTTGCTTAATGTCACTCATCATCAGGGAAACACAAATCAAAACCACACTGAGATACCACCTCATGCCGGTAAGAGTGCCTAAAATGAACAAATCAGGAGACTATAGATGCTGGTGAGGATGCGGAGAAATGGGCACCCTCTTACACCATTGATGGGAATATAAACTGGAGCAGCCCCTCTGGAAAACAGTGTGAGGGTTCCTCAAAAAATTAACAATAGAACCCCCCTATGATTCAGCAATGGCACTGCTAGGAATTTACCCGAGGAATACAGGAGTGCTGATGCATAGGGGTACACGTATGCCAATGTTCATAGTGGCACTTTCAACAATAACCAAATCATGGAAACAGTCTAAATGTCCATCAACTGATGAGTGGACCAAGAAGATGTGGTTTATATATACAATGGAATACTACATGGCAATGAGAAAGAATGAAATCTGGCCATTTGTAACAACATGGATGGAACTCGAGGGTCTTATGCTGAGTGAAATAAGTCAGGCAGAGAAAGACAGATACCATATGTTTTCACTCATATGTGGAACAGGAGAAACTTAACAGAGGACCATAGGGGAAGGGAAGGGGAAAAATTAGTTATGGAGAGGGAGGGAGGCAAACCATAAGAGACTCTTAAATACTAAGAACAAACTGAGGGTTGATGGGGGGTGGGGGAGAGGGGAAAATGGGTGATGGGCATGGAGGAGGGCACTGATTTGGATGAGCACTGGTGTTATATGGAAACCAAGTTGACAATAAACCATAATAAAAAAAATTAAAATCTTAAAAAAAGAGTATCAATCCTATTTTTGGGGCCTTATCTTCACAACCTCATCCAAATATAAATACCTCTCAAAGATATCACCTCCAAATGCCATATCATTGGAGATTAAGGCTTCAGCACATGAATTTGAAAGGACACAAATATTCAGTCAATAGAAATGAGGTATTGGATACATCATTTATATCTATCCTTTTCTCCTCCTCAGACCGATCTCTGCTTCTTCAAGATAGTGGAAAATCCACAATTTCTAGAATAAGACAAACAAGGAAAAGGAGGAGGCGGTGGAGGAGGGGGAAGGAGAAAATGAGGAACAGAACTAAAGAAGAAATTACAGAAAGGAAGGAAGGAAAAAAGGGACGGAGGGAAGATGAATAAGAAGAGAGAAATGGAGGGAGAGGGAAGGAAGGAGGAAAATAAAGGATGCATAACAGGAAGTCTAATGGAACAAGCTGCAGTTACTGCCACTGTAGTAGTGTGCAACTATACATATAATCCCCATCTTTTGCTTCCAGTCCTACATTTCCTTTACTTTGGCCAATGCTTCTATTTTTTTGGATAATATCCCAATGGAGTACCCCAGATAATCCTGCCTAATGGGTCTTAGTGTCTCATTATTGATATAGATATGGACAGATCCATGTAGATATTCCAGTGAAATCTCCTGGGTTCCAGATACATTCTTCTCTGCACTCTACCTCTCCATGACAACTATCCATCACCAAATAGTGACCCTCTTCTCTGCCTGCTGGTTTACTAACAGGAGAAGTCCAGAATGACCAGGTGACAGCTGTAACATTAGATCATATCCCCTGGTGAAATTTCCCTCACATGGAAATTAAACCTTTAACCCAATAAGTCTAAAGCCATGAAGATGGTAAGCAGAAATTCCCAAGCATGTAACTGAAATTAAGGTGATACAAGTCTTCCCTATTTTTAACCATCATTTTCTAACCCATGTATACCACCTTTTAGTATACATATATAGTACTACCTATATGTGATCCATATAATGGGCATTGGGTCAAGATATATACCACATCCAGAAGACAGTGTATCAATCCTACAGGCTGTCACCTCTAAGTTGGTGCCTTAGCTAAACATCTAAGAGACTGTTCCAGTCTTCTATCAGACCAGCAATTGCAGGCTTATGTGATACATAAGTAGGGCAAGTGGGTCCCATGGCCATAAGCCTGTTGTTCACTCTGTTCATCATAAAGTGGGTCCCTAGTCCAAAGTGACGGTATGGAGGGTCCTATGATAATAAAACTATAAATTGCCAGATAGTACTACAGACAGGAAAGGTAATCCATGAGGAATGTTACCATATTAAAGGTTCAACATTAACCTCTGCTGACTAATAGCACATTCAGCAGAGGCAGCTCTGGTAAAAGGGAATCCATGCTGTTGGGTCCACACAAAACCGCTATCCCTACCATCATGGACTACTGTACAAGTTAAGTACTGGAGTACCCAAGGAGGGAGATGGTATGGTACCCAAACTCCTAGCTGTTCAGAGCCTCCTACATGGTGGATTCTCTCTGGCGGGCATTGATGGAACACTTTCTACCCATATATCCAGATCCACCTAGATGGTTCTTCTCCAAATCTCTTTATTTCTAATCTTGCATCTTGCTCCATCCAGGCCTCAAACTAATCAATGGAGCCTTTTAACACTTGCAAATAGCCAATGAACATCATTTCCTCAGGCTACTTTTTCTATAAAAGAAACTTCTGACTCTGCTCATGATTCTGCTCTTTGGGAGTATTTCTTCTTTCCACTGCCTTTAAAGTTAGAAGTTGTTGAACTATTGTAGAAAAACTAGCTGTTAATGGGTCTATCAACTGATTTAATTTAAGGTATTCCATAATTATATACCATGATCCTTTAGGTTTTTGAAGGGGCCAGACTGGCAATCAAATGCAGTTGTGTTGGGAACTACCATCCTGCATTCTTTAAGTCTTTGAGGCAGCACTAAACTCTGTGGATTGCTATTGCTTTTAGTTAATACACTGGTCAGGAGGAGAGGAATTTTTAGGGGCTCTTATTTGGCATTTGTTTCTATTATGGTTCTCATTCACATGTCTGGAGATGTACTTCTGCTGTAGAGTGCAGTTAGCTGATAGGTTCCAATTGTTATCAACTTCAGGATCTACATCAGCTTTAGAGCTAAGGCCATGTTCTTTCTGTAAACTTCTGGCTAATAACTGCATGCCATGAAAGTACTGAGGCATAGCATTTTCTTCCTAACGTGGGACTTGTTAACAGCCATCTTTGCTCTGGATATCTCCATTGAGTTGACCAATGTTTTTTTATACCTACATGGCAGTCTTATATCCTCCTTGCCTAATGCTGCCTCTTTCACACTTTTTTTTTGAAAGATGTTATATCTAGATTGCAGTCTATTGGTTTTTGCTGTCCAATCCACCTTCTTTCCCCCACTCTTCTTAAATCTTTCATTGACATTACTCCCCAGTGAATGCCTTACATTCTTACCACTGTTTCAGTGTCTGATTCTCAGAGGACCCAAATGATACACAATGGAAAGATTCTGTCACTCACTACTTACTCAAGTAGAAGGGAAATGAGTATAAGTGGACGTTAATGCTAATTAGACCCACATGAGATGGACATGAATCAGAACTCCATTTATTACCTGGCCTCCATATGCATGCACTTTAATAGAAGGAGTCTTGGTATCAGTGTCTGCTCAAACTCTGAATCCAGCACCTTTAGAAATATCTGGGTTTTCACTTTTCCTGAGTGTACAGTTACTCTGGCATATGATTATAAATCCTTTGTGGAAGGAATGCGGGGAAACAATGCTACACACACACACACACACACACACAGAGTTCACTGTTGCAGTATCATTCTCAAGAAGACTAACCCTCTCCTTCATTTGAAGGGCTCTATGTCTGAGAACTGACTTGGATCTGGAAGCTGAATGGGAGGTCATCATTTTCTATTGAAGTCACTGACATCAGCCTCTGATTCACCCTGTCCTTGATCCTTTTCCAGTTGGCTGCTTTTCTTGTTGGCTGCTAATTACCTCACTCTTAAGGAAGCTATAGTCTGTTAGATCTCTGTGAGTCAAGAACCACTGATTGACATTTCTTCTTATTTTGGTAATTATATCTACCTCAACTCTGCTCTTCTGCCATTCCCCACTTCCCAGTTCCCTATCATCAGCTTATACCATCAATCCTGGCCACAGACAACTACCACCACTGACCTTTTCAATGATGCACATGCTTCACTGCTTCTGTAAAGGAATCTCTTTTGGGCCATCCCAGGGAACATGATCAGTTTGTGGGCGGATATGAGATAAATCCATTCTACCATGTATGTTGCTCTGAGCCTTTTGACTCCATTCACAGTAGTCTACCAGGGCAGTTCTAGAATCCTCAGTTCATGTTCTGTATTTCATTGCATTTCTAGGAAACACCTTATTTGGTGAGGTTAACTTTGGCACTTGCTTAGCTATAATACCATAAAAAGGCCCAGGGGAGAAATTTTAAGGTCAATGACATATAATGACTATTGTTTTCACAACTGTTATCCTTTCTTTATAGTATATGGATTTTGGGAGGGAGAATGAGAATATGTAGGCTTCTAATTTGTAAATTTGAAGTATAATTTATGTTGAGTCATGGATACAGAATTAAACCAGACAGACAAAATATCAGATTATCACAGGAAGAATAAAGGGAGAAGAAACTACCCTCCACTAAAAATAAGCATGATAGATTCAGTGTGTTTTGTGGTAAAGACTGAAAATATAATAATTATAGTCTCTTAAAGAAGGTTTCTGCCTTCAACTTGGCCCATCCATAATGGGAGGAAAATAAGAAAAATTTCCAGAAAAATCAAAAGGTTGACATGCACATGAAACAAGTGAGATAAATATTTTGACCAAACAATTCTATCAGCAATCTGCTACTAGATGGATGTCCAAAGATATTTTTATATATGTTCACCAAACAACCTGCAAAGAAACATTCATAGAATCACTATTTTTATTAGTCCCAAACTTCAAAAAACTTACCTGTTTATCAACAGGAAAGTCAAGAAATAAATTATATCATATTCATTCAGTGAAAGAATGAAAGAGGAATGACAAGGAGTAAACAACAAATAATTACATTGGTAGTCTCTCAATCATAATGTAAAGGGAGCCGATTCTATACTATTTCATATACATGAAGGTTTAAAAAAAGCCAAAACTGACCTACACAGTTATAAATCAACACAGTGATTACTAACCTTTGGGGATAAGTCAAGAAGTCTAAATTAGGGGCGCCTGGGTGGCTTAGTCGGTTAAGCGTCCGACTTTCGCTTAGGTCATGATCTCGCGGTTCGTGGGTTTGAGCCCCGCGTCGGGCTCTGTGCTGACTGCCAGCTCAGAGCCTGGAGCCTGTTTCAGTCTGTGACTCCCTCTCTCTCTGACCCTCCCCTGCTCACGCTGTCTCTCTCTCTCTCCTAGAAATAAATAAAAACATTAAAAAAATAAATTAAAAAAAAAAACTATTAAAAAAAAAGAAGTCTAAATTAGAGAAAGTGAATTTAATTTCTATTTCTTATTCTGGTCATATTGACATGGCTGTGTTCATTTTGTGATAATCTATCAAAATAGATTAATAATTTGCACACTTTTTAAATGAATGGTATACCTAAAATTTTTTAAACATGTTAGATCCAAAAGACAAAACAAGTATCACCTCAACTAATCCAATTCCCATATAAAATGAAAGCAAATAAGAAAGAAATACAAACAACAGACATTAACTGAAAATGTGCTATCAGTGGGGTAAGGCCACACACTCTGCTGGTTAACAAGGTTAGGAGTACAGTCACCAACTCATCTTGGCTTGTCTACTGAACCAGTTATACAACTGAAGTCCACAAATCCAAGGAAAACTTTTGTTCCCAGGGAAAATCAAGATTACTGGTTAGGAGAAGGTACATTAACTGATGCTTGCTTAGTCTCAGTGTACTGCTGCTGCTTCTACCTACCTGCTTTGGTTATACCTTGCCATATGAAAGAGATGATATCAGACATCTCTACCCAAGGGTCTTTCAGTGAACTGGGACACCAGGTGGGGTAGAGTGCCACAAAAGACAGATATGCCTGCGGGAGTCTTGAATCAGGCTTCTGTGGGGAAACAGACCTGCTCTATTCAGCCTCATGCCCCTCACCTTGGGGATACACCTAAACCAAATATAATGTAAGAACCAATGCAGCAGAGGGACCATGCTCTGACCCTACCCAGCTGAGTGGGACTTGATCACATGATGGATGCAATGACAGATCACATGATGGATGCAATGATCATTGAAGCAATACCAGTGCTGCTGGTGTGACCCCTTTCCTTTCATCTGAAAATGTTTTTATGAGTTACTCTCAAATAGGAAACCATTAAACACTTATTTTGTAATGATTCCTGTAACATTTTGGAAGCAACTTCCTTGTTTATGATTCCCCCAGTGACTATGGAAAACAATGTAAACACCAACAAGGAAAGTCCTGCCCATTGGTCTAAACTTCTGGGGTCCAGCGCATAAAAGCCCCAGATCAGGAGGAGGCACCAGAATCTGAGAACCTCACCTCTGAACAGGACCTGCCCACCCTCCACCTCACACACCATGACCCACTCGTGCTGCTCCCCTTGCTGCCAGCCTACGTGCTGCCGGACCACCTGCTGCCAGCCCACCTGCTGCCAGCCCACATGCTGTGGGTCGAGCGGCTGTGGGTCCAGCTGCTGCCAGCCTTGCTGCCGCCCAACTTGCTGTCAGACCACCTGCTGCAGGACCACCTGCTGTCAGCCCAGCTGCTGTGTGTCCAGCTGCTGCCAGCCCAGTTGCTGTGGGTCCAGCGGCTGTGGGTCTAGTGGCTGTGGCTCCAGCTGCTGCCAGCCAGTTTTCTGTACACCCGTGTACTGCACGAGAACCTGCTACCACCCCACCTGCTGCTGCCTGCCTGGGTGCCTGTCCCAGGGCTGTGGCTCCAGCTGCTGCCAGCCAGTTTTCTGTACACCCGTGTACTGCACGAGAACCTGCTACCACCCCACCTGCTGCTGCCTGCCTGGGTGCCTGGCCCAGGGCTGTGGATCCAGCTGCTGCCAGCCTTCCTGCTGCTGATTGCCTCACCGAGAACCACCATCTGATTTGCCTTTTGGGAAACAGTCACTGCCAAGCATTGCTGAAAGCCAATCCCCAAATCCCCCACATCTCTGTTATTTATCTACCTTTTTTACAAACTTGTGAATCAACTTGATGAAGTGTGGACCACTTCTCCCTCATTCTCTTCTTCCTTCCTCTTATGGGTCATATGCAGGCTTCATGCATTCTGATACTGTCTTGATGTCTGCTTTGAGTTCATAGTCAAGATCTTCATCCTGTCCCTCTAAGTACCTTAGAGAAACAAATCCTCATAACTGACATACAAGTTTTTGCATTTATGTAAAGTCCACACTAATATGTTTTCATTCTTAGTGTACTCTTGGTTCTTGTGTGCTGCTTTCTTCCTCTCATGATCCCTTTGAATGTCTCCCTAGATCCAGGGAGTCTCACCTATATTTCTTAATAAATCCTGTACCATACAGCATCCCATATTGTCTTTGTTTTATTGTACAATGTTTCTAATATAGGGATTTATACATAGGTTGCATATCACATGCAATGTCCACTGGAATTTGATACAGGCCCACACACATTTTAATCTCCATTTTCATGAGTGTATTTCCTAGGGGAATGTCATACATTGATATGGACAGACTTCAATCTCAGACTGCCTCTTCTACCCTTGCTGAAGTACATATACATTCATATCTCCAGATGATTTAGAAAACACCTTGAGTATTAAAACCAGCAAGATGGTCACTTGAGTGTCTTCTTTGACCATGGAAGGGTTGTTCTCCTGTATATGCAGGTGACATCTGGAACTAAGTTTAGACATCGGTGTCCTACAGTTCAGCCTTCGGCAGCAAACGTGAGGGCAGAGGGACCTGCCCTTTAGAGCTTTTATGAACATAGGATCTTTTGCTGCCTTGGGATCTGTCCAGCCCCCAGCACTCCTCTGCATCACATACATGTGAGGACGTGGTGTCCTCATGAGAAAGAGATGCAGCTGAACACATCTGTTTTTGGAGCATGGAAATCACATTCTTATAGACTTCTTGGTCTTCAGGACCTAATGGCAAAGGTCCTGAAGAGTACAAAGGTATCAGGTAATTTTCTGCTCCCCAACTGTAAGGCAATTTGTCATTGTGATCAAAGTGTTACCTAGACAATTAAGGAAGGATGAATCAGGGACTGAAAGACCATGCAATGTGCATGTACAACTTTGAGTAATCCATGAACTCTAACCATCTGAGGGAACAGAAAAACCTCCAGTTTTGTGAAGAAACTATGAGCAACTAAGGAGGAAAAAACGATGCCTGTCCCATGAGGAGAATGTGAGGAAGAAAAAAGAGACAACGATGTGGGCATTGCTAGGAGTCGTGAACAAAGACTGGAGCTTCTGGTCCTGAACTAATGGTGCTGCCTCAAGCCTCAGGGCTGTGAAGCTAGATTCAGGCTCTGAGAGGGATAGGAGACTAGGCCCTGGGTCACCTCCTGGGAGTGGTGGAGGGACCTCTGATGAGCTGCAAAGCCTCATGTCCAGGACACACGTCAATGTTGGAGACTAGGTATTCAAGGTGCTCTGGAGGGATTACTAAGACCAAACTTGCCCACTGCTGGTTCTTAAGAGCTGGGTGTTTGCATGACCAGCTGAAGAACTGACATGACTCATGTTGCCTACTACTTGCTAGGTACAGACCAAATGCTTCATGTACATTAATTCTTTATTTTATTTTATTTTATTTTTTTTATGAAGGTTTTATTTATTTATTTATTTATTTATTTTACAAATAGTTTATTGTCAAATTAGTTTCCACATAACACTCAGTGCTCATCCCCAAAAGTGTCCTCCTCCATGCCCACCCCCCTCCCCCCCACATCCATCAGTCCTCAGTTTTTGTCAGCATTCAAGAGTCTCTCAACATGTACATTAATTCTTGAAGGAAATTTCACAGTAGGTTAAGGCTCCCATTGTATAGATCTGGAAATTGAGACTGAGCAGGGTAAAGTAATGTCAGAGTTTGGTTTCTCCCAGAAGCTCCTCTGAAGAAAAGATCCAATGAATATAGTTTCTTTGGGGAATTCAGATCATACAGGTAAAAGTGTGGGGAAGTGACATGGGGAGAAGGCCAGTGTCACAGTTTTCAACTGAAGCTTAATCCTGAGAAATGTATCAGAAATAATGTCAAACACCCATGTGGGTGTTTGCTCCTATTTCAGGAGCAAGGGATCTGAAGTTGCATAAGCCAACTCTCCAGAAGCAAGGGTTAAGTGTTTCCTCAGTGTGGCACCCACAGGCAGCATGACATTCTGCTGTCATGAAAAGAGCCCTTAGGCATACAGATGCAGATCTGGTATGTAGAAATTGTCCCAAACACACTAAGATCCAAGTTATAATGCCGGTATATTCAAGACATCATCTGTAGTCTATGGTTTCCTTCTGTCACACCCAATATTTATTCTGAAGGATGGTGGGCAGCAACAAGTTTTATAAGAAGAAGACAGAGGAGGAGGAGGAAGAGGAAGAAGAGGTGAGAGAGCAGGAGGGGAGAGTCAGGGACAGAGGAAGGTAGAGTGAGAGAAAAAGAAGGAAGGAAGAAGGAGGCACGGAAGGAAGGAAGGATGCTGTCAACTAACCCTGGTTTCCCCAAACTGCCCTATTTATATCACTGAAAGTCCCACATCCTGGGAAAGACATGATTTCTGGGTAAATCAGGAGTACTGGTCATCCAGGAAGTATGTTGACTGATGCTTTCTTAGTCTCAGTGTACTGCTGTGGCTTCTATCAACCTGCTTGATTCTTCCTTGACCGTATGGAAGAGATGATGTCCGACATCCTCCACTCATGTGTCTTTTATTGAACTGGGATACCAAGATGGACTAGGGTGCTAAAAGTGACATTTGTCTGTGAAAGTGTTGAATTAGGCTTTTGTGAGGAAACAGACTTGGTCTCAGGCATGATTTCAATTCATCACTGTGAATGGATTAACATCATATCCCTCACCTCAGGGATATTCCCAATCTACATGCAATGTAAGGCCCAGCACTGGGGAAAGACCACTGAACTGACCCACTAATCACACCCAGGCCAGTGGGAAATATATGACATGATGAAATTACTATAGCAAGAATGGTACTGCTGATGTGACCACCTTGCTTTTATCTGAAATTGTTTCCATGACTTATTCTCAAATAGGAAACACATTAAACACATATTCTCTGAAGATCCTAACATTTAGGGAATAGCTTCCTCTTTTATTATGCCTCCAGTGACTACTGACAACAGTGCAAACAAACAGCAAGGTAAGTCCTGCTTATTGTTCTAATCTGGGGGATCCAGTGCATAAAAGTCCCAGGACAAGAGGCACCAGAATCTGAGAAACACACCTCTGAACAGGACCTCCCTACCCTCCACCCCTGACACTATGACTCCCTCGTACTGCTCCACTTGCTGCCAGCCTATGTGCTGGTGGACCACCTGCTGCCAGCCCACATGCTGTGGGTCCAGTGGCTGTGGGTCCAGTTGCTGCCAGCCTTTCTGCTACTGATCGCCTCCTCACAAACCACTCTCCTCTGCACACAACCTTTGTTAACTGATTTTCCTTTGGAGAACAAATTCACTTCCTAGACTTTGATGAAAACCAGCATACTATCACCATAATTCCTGTTACTCATGTCTGTTTAAGAACTTGCGAATCAGCTTGATAGAGTTGAAAGCACTTTCCCCAGTTCTCTTCCCCTTGTGTAGATGGTTTATGTGCCACTTTGGTGAATCCTCAATATGAAGCATTGGTCTCTGCTTTGACACTGAATTATGATCTTCATCTTCCCCCTCCATGTAACTCAGGAAAACAAATCCTCATAACTTTTCTTTAGGTCTCTGCTACTATCTTCATAATAATCTTATCATGTTTCATTTTTATGCATTTATCATTTATATAATCCATTTTATTCTTTCCATGATCACTTGGCATTTTCTGCATAGATGCAAGAACTCTTTCCTGTATTTCTTAATAAGTCTGTGCCATTTTCATCCCAAGTTGTGTTTTATTTTACTGTACAGCATTCCTGACATAGGGGCCTATACACATATTGCAGATCTCATGCATATGACAGTATCCCTCAAGTTAGATTCTTCATTTTTCAGATGAGAAAATTTCACTGTGTGATGTTATGTAGGTAAAAATGGACAGATTCAAGTTAAAGACTGGATTTTCTGCTCCTATTCAAGGGCATGTACATTTATCTACCAGGACGACTTGAGTTGAAAATGGGACTGAATACCAGCAAGATACGCATTTCAACTTATTCCTAACTATGGAAGGAATATTCCCTTATATATGCAGATAATACTTGTGTTTACCAAGTTCTTCCCAAATCAGTGCCCCATACTTCAGTGTGTAGCAACGAGCAGATGTTTCAGTCAATGAGCAATGGCTATCTTTAAGATATTTCATGTATTCAGGGAAATCTTCTGTCTCAAACTTGACCAGGCCCTAGGGTAATTCTGCATCAAATAATTTTGAGCATCTATTGTGTCCTCATGAGAAAGAGACTCATTTATCAGGATATTTTCTTTGGTATTATGTAAATCAAATTCTTGTAAGGCTTCCTTCTCCTGAGTACCTTTTTAGAGCAAAAAGGAATGAAGTAATTCCCTACAAAACATAGATCCTGTAGCATGCTTCCCAACTTTAAACCAACTTGCTTCAATGTGGTATGGTTTGCTTTCATGAAGGATGTTATTTAATTAAGGGCTTAACATCAGTCTCTGCTGCTGACAAATAGCATTTTCAGGACAGACAGCCATAGCAACAGAGAGCACATGCTGTTGGTTCCACGCGAAGCCTCTATTCGTGCCACTGTGGCTACTTAGTTTGAGGTCTCTTATGTAAGTACTGGAGCATCTGAGGAGAAAGACGGGGCACATTACCCCAGACTAATCTGGAGCTTCTCAAGAGATAGATACTCTCTGGTGGGCAGTGATGTGGGGACACAGAGAGGGAACACTTTGTGTC